TGTTCCCGAGATGCAACACCCACATTGCGTCTACGTTATTTTTGCTAAATCAGCCAAGAAGGGCTGAACAAAACGGTGATGCCACAAGGCCGGCAGATGTAACGTTGGCTCGTTTGAGGTCATTTGTGCAGTATGCACACTTGTAATTGTTGGGAAAAACAAGGACATTTGAGTTCGTAAAATATGAATTAGAATTACTCTCCAAAATGTCCATAGTTGCTAGACTAACCAGAAAGAGAAATTACTAATGTGGTCTGTGCTCTAAAACATAACATATGCTCATCAGAGGTGAGCAACAGTAACTCAAGGATGGATTGTGCGTCCCTCATCCCTTTCTACAAATCGCAATGATAAAGGTTGCCCTCCCTCCCCCCACTAAAATCAGCATTCCCGAAACTTCAAACACGTAATGAATTGCATGTAAAGACAGAGTACGTCCCATACGCGGGTGTGGTAAGCGTTAAGTAGTCGGGTCACAATCAGTGTCACGGGTAACATCCTGAAACGTGCACAAAGTCAACTTTAAGGAGTAACGCATTACTGGTTTTGATTTTACCTTGGAAAGCTGAATCTCAGGAACCTGTGTTCAATGGATCCAAACACATATCATCAACTCATTCACTTGCTTCTGAATTTATTTGTTTGAACACACGTCACCTTAAGGCGCTTCAAGCAAGTGCGTGCCTTTCAGAGCACCCCAAGAAAGTCAAACTTTATTCAGAAAAGAATGTGTAGATTTAACTACAAATGAGCTTCAAACTGGTTTCTGATAAAACTCAACTGAAACTATGAGGGATCAACAAATTCCACGCTATCCCTAAAAAAGAAACAATTCAGAAGAAAAAATTTCCTTTGCTCCCATCCCCTCTGTCACAGAAACGAAACGTGAAGAATGGATTTTGGTCAAATTTCCAATACAGTACACTCTGGAATGGAGGACTTGCAAAAAAACCCCTCCTTCACAACAAAAGATAGTTTTCAGAAAACTTTTCTCAAGAAAGTAGAGCAGAAATCGTCCTGCAGCCTTAATATTAGCATTGTAACCAATTCTAACTGTGCCATTTTAAACGTTTGCTGAGTTACGCTCAAGTCCCCTTGAAGAGTGGGGTAACGATGGCAGCTCCTTACCTTCCTTCAGTCTTCCACTCTGTCCACTGTCCAGTTGCAAACTTGTATTCAAAGAGATCATTTTTATTCTTCAGGTTGGAATTGGAATAAATGTCTCCAGTATAGCCACCTGGGCAACAACGATTCCATTAGACTCAAACACAACAGAGCATACACACTTGTAGTCGTTATATGAGAAGGAAACTTCAGTTTAGATCGCACAAAGCAAAGGTATTTGGCTAACGGACTGCTACAGGTGGGAGGCTTCTCCTCCACTCCTACGCCTAAAGAAACACTTGTGGTAATGAGTTTCAAGTCTTCTTTACTTCAGAGAAAACAGCAAAAGTATTTCCAAACTAAAGTTGAAATCACAGTCAGCCATGAAAAATACTGGATTTGCTACTGAGTAAGATCTGACACCTCCTAAAAATATCTCATTCTTTTTTCAAAACGATACCGGCACGTTTATCATTCCAAGCACGCACAACTGTAATCTGCCGCTGTCTTACCAAAGACAAACATGCTGCTCCCATAGACCACAGCTGAGTGGTGATACCGTGGTGCTGGCGGGGTCCCGGTGGTAAAAGCCCTGCACAACATTTAGAACAGCAGCAATCAAACACCCTTGTCATGCTTCAGGCACTCAAAGCTACTGTACAAATTCGAAAAAGAAACAATTGTTAAAAGTTACTCTACTGTTCCTGAATGTTTTCACTAGTTTTGGTTTCTTAATTATACTGTCTAAGATTTCATGACAGACTTTGCGCTATAGGCATACGGTTAGGCATACATATAAGCGGCTACAAGCACGATGCTGCTGAAATCTGTTTGGCAGGGACAGCGAGTGAGGCACAGGTAAGACAACGCAGCCGGCGCAGCCCAGAGCAAAGGAGCACAGCAAAGACACCTGCGAGGCCTCTGGAACCATTCCTGCCCTCAGAGGCTGCAGCAGCCCCGTCCCTCTGCCCGCGGCCCTTCAGGGCTCTCACAGGGTGCACGGACGGTGGCAACCCAGGGCTCGCTGTCGCTCGCCGTGCTGCCCGGCATCCCCGCGCTGGCAGGAGCTGTGCGGGGACACCCGCCAACCTCCCGGGCAGCTCAGCCGCGCTGCGGGCTTGCAGAGGTCAGCTCTGGCAGTGCCTGGGCCGGGGGGGATGCTTCCCCTTGGATGCTGTGGTAGAGCCCCCAGCTTTTACACCCGGGACCGAGGTGCTGAGGAAAGATACGGCATCGCCCAGCCCCGCCGGCGGCCCTGCGAGGGCCGGAGCCCGGGGGTCCCAGCGCAGCCCACCTGCACCACGAGCAGTCCTTCACGTCGAAGCGCAGCAGGTCGTTCAGCATCGTCTTCCTGCGGGGAGGAAGGAGAGAGGCGGCTGAGCCGGGCCGCGGGGGCGGGGGGGGGGGGGCCCCCGCCCCCCCGCCCCCGGCC